GTGTGTGTGTGTGTGTGTGTGTGTGTGTGTGTGTGTGTGTGTGTGTTTGCACACGCTATGGGGCACTTTGAAAAATCATTTGACTATACCTTGATATAAATATTTCAATTGGTGGCAGATGTTTAGCCTGGGATTGCCAGAAAGTAGAGCCTGCCTGATACAAAGACTTACTGAACATACTTTCTTGGGGGGGGGGGTGTGATCCCAGGGATGGAACCAGCAAAGGATAAAGAACCAATACAAGGTTGTGTTACCATGATGGCCACTGCCTTAGGTGACTGGCTGCTTAATTCAGCAAGACCATTTGAGAAGATCTATGTAACACACTTCAGGATCCTTTGTCAGAGGATAAAAGGGGGAGCATTTATCCATGGGCCCCCATCTCCCATTAGTCAAAGATTTACCATAGGGTGTTTAGTCTCTCATGCTTCTTTCTGCATTTTAGTCTACACCAAAGCTTCAACCAAGAAGCCTCTGGGTGGGAGGAGAGATGTAAGAGAGGTCTAGGGCGAGGCACTGTCAGACTGTATTTGTGTGAAGCTGGCTGGAACCCACTTAGAACTGACTGCTTTTGCAGTGCCTAAAATAGACAGGTAGACTCAGAGGATTTGAAATGGTACATACGAGGTGTGATATAGAAAGTAACATTATTTTTTCAAAGATTCACAGTTTTTCACTTACAGGCCTCCTTTCCACATCTGATATGTCATACTCATTGGGCCTAGCAGAAGAGTCTCAAGCTTTCTTTCTGTGTTCATTCTTATAATATTTAATATTTACTCATGTTGATTGTGTCAGACCTTGTGTAGGGAACTGGCAATAGAAATATAATTTTGATCAAGAGATTCTCTGCTATCGTAAAGCCTACTGTATTCTCAAGTCTGTGCCTATGACAGTACTAGCACCCAGTAGGCATTTTTTAAGGAAATAAAAGAGTCTCCTAATACAATCAGTATTAAATGAGTATTAAGTACTATGGAAGTCTTAAAGGACCGGAGGGATGGCCCACTAGATAAACCACTCTATCATCCTGGTAGGAAATCTCTTACCCACTGGCTATAATGGCTTATGTCTGCCCTGGGAGTAAAGACTGTTTACTTTATTATCAATGTACTGCCTTGGGATAGGGAGGCTGAAATTTAGACAGATTTCTGTAGTTATCTGTAAGGTGCCTCCTAGGCATAAGAGAACATTCTGAGGAGCTGGAATCCGGGAGCATCACCAGCAGCAGCAGCAGCAGCAGCAGCAGAAAGCGGTGGCGCCCACACCTACACATACCTGGCAGTGTTCCCAGGCAGAAGGTGGAAGATGTCCTGTCTCGTTGCCAGATCTCCTTCAACATCCCACTGGCCAAAGAACCATCAGCTGACTCCTACCCAAGATGCCTGTTTTCGGGAGCCAACTTGTCCTCGCATTCCACAGAAGCACTCAGGTGGGAAAGACACCGATTCATTAAAATTTCTGCTACACACTTAGCTGCATTCTGTGGTCCAGGGGAAAATGCCATGCCAGAGACATATTTGTATGATAATGAAGTTTTCAATGCCTTAGGAAGATGCTGAAATAAAAATAAAATCAGAATAAAATTATTCAAATGATAACATTTGGGAGGGCAGGTAAGTCCTTCTGGCCTTGCAAGTGGTTCCCCTTCACTGCAGACCCATCATCTGGCCCTCTGTGACAATGAAGCCCGAGGTTACATCATGCCCATTACCTCCGCGAATTAGCTGATGTATGGGGACCTGTCAGTGTTCTTTAGTATTCACATTAAACTCTCAGGGCAGAGTGACCAGAGCATGCCAGTGCTTTATGGAGCAGTCAAGGCAGCGAGGCTGCTGGAGGCTTTCAAGAGGAACTTTCCACCTGTGGGGAGTAGCGGGGCCATTGTGTAGTGGCATCAGGGCAGAGGCCCCAGGCTGGGAGCTGGAAGGAAGGACAGATAAACTCAATTGGCTCTTCAAATGAAAGGGCTCACTCTAGTGACTGAGCACAAAGCGTCCCCCCCCCCCAACAACCCCTACCTCGCTCCCCAAAGGGAATTTCATGGTTCAGAAGGAGTAAGGATTCTTGTGGAGAATGGATCTGCAGGCCCAGCGCGCCTCTCCCCCAGGTACCAATGGTAGTGGAGTCGAAGAGAAATCGCCTGGGAGAGAGCATCTGAGGCAACTCGCCTGCTGGTGTGCTGCTTTAGGGACAGATGTGCATTGCTGTGTGTGGGGGGAGTAGGTGGGGAGGGGGAGGCTGGTGCTAAGACTGCCTGTCTGCTTTCAGGGGAAGAAAGGCAGAAGTGCGAGGATACACAGAGCGGGACGAGCTTGGGCTCCAGGGCAGCCGCGCGTGGACGTGTGGGTGTGGTCTGGGAGTACTAGGAGAGGTGCGGGAGCAGAAGTTACTGGAACAGGCGTACTGGTAGGTTGGAGTTGCAACTCAAGCCCCAGATCAATCACTCATTCTATTCAAAGGACTTTTTCTTTTCGACAAAAATGTTGATAAACGCTTTGGAGTCAGAGAAGGAGGTTAGAGAATGCTCCCCGTTACCTTTTTAGTCTAATCCTACTCGCTTCTCCACAGGGAATCAGAGGACCCCAGGATTCAAAAAGGTGCAAAGTAGTAAGTAGGAGCCCTGTCTGGGAAGCACATTCGGAATCAAGAGGCACAACCTTTGATTGTTTAATCCTCACGTTACAAACTAACCTTGGGATCTTAGATAAGCCATTGTAACCTCCTTGTGCCTCAGTTTCCCCATCTGACCTCTGAGAGTATGGTGAGCTCCATCCCCGCGCCTGGCTGGGCCACTGATCGGGCTGAAAGCGGTGTGTGTGCTCTCCCCGAAGCCGGCACCACGCTCCAGGCGAGGCAGGGAGGCACGTTGGTGTTCTCCTCGAGCCCCGAGAGACTGGTGGGGGAAGACTCGAGCTCTAAAATTAGTCCAGCTTCCAGGCCCTGCGCCGGGAGCGCCCTCCAGCTCGCCGCGCCTCTCCCACAGCCCCCTCCCCGCCCGCCCCCTCTCCCCCCTGCGCGGCGCTCCGAGATCGCGAGTCAGCCCGGACGCCGAGGCTTCTCTCCCCTTCGCCCTTTTCGCTCGCGGTTTGGGAGGAGGAGACAGCGAGAGAAAAGCGAGAGGGGGCGACGAGAGGGGCTTGGCTGTGCGTCGGCGTCGGCCGTGATGGGGAGCTGGGAGCAGCGAGGCGGCGAGCAGTAGCGGCGGCGGGGCGGCGGCGGCGGCACGGAGCAGACAGGAGAGCCGGCACTGCTCCCGGCAGGCTGCGCTGTGATCTGGGCTTCGGATTGGGAATTCGCGCCCCGTCCCCCTCCTCCCGCTGCCGCTCTCCTCCTCCCGGCTCCCCTCCTCCGCCTGCGAGCCCCCCGAACGCCTAGCGCCTCTGCCCGCGGCTCCAATCCCAGAGCGCGCGCGGCGGGCACTGCGGCGGCGGCGGCGGCCGGGTGGCCGGCTCGCTCTGGGCTGGAGCGCTCGGAGCGGAAGACCACGGAGGCAGCGCCTAGTGGAGCCGTGGATCGCCGGCGCAGGCAAGGGTGCGTGGGGATTTTAGTGTGATTATTTGGCTGCCGGGTGCACCGGCTGAAGCGCGCCTCCGGGAGCAAGCTCCAACTACCAGGTGCAAATGGGCTGCGAGGTGGGCTCGGGGAGGCGAGAGCTGGCGGAGCGCGTGGGGGAAACTTTTCACCTTGTAAAGTTCCTGCCTCGGCACGGCTCCGAGCCGCCGCCGCTGCCGCCGCCAGGAGGGAAGAGAGGTTCGGTCCTGCGGCAGTAGCCGGGAGGTTGGCATGGAGAGTTGGCTAAGTTTGGGGGTGAGGATTTGGGGAGGGCCGCGAGGGGGCTTGCGGATCGGTGCACCTATCCCTGAGTCCCCCAAGCCCCGGCTGCCGGTTGCAGGTGGATGGATGAGAGGATCCAGGCGGCTAGCCTATTAGTTAGCCGGTAGCTTTCGGGCGCAGTGGGGAGGTTCAGATGCCGATGGATGTACTTGGGCGACCCGGAGGCCAAGTTGGGTCGTTGCTTGGCAAGGTGCAGTGCGGAGCCGGGGGGCCCGGGCCCCCGGGGGGTGTGTGTGTGCTCAGACTCCACTTTCTCCGGGGAGAGGAAGGGGTTTCTTGGACAGTTCACAGGTCGGCTCCACGCTTGACTCCGGCTTGCGAGGGGTAGTGGGCAGGGTGAAATGTTATGAAAGGCAGCGGCTTTCGGACTAGGGCGACAGCTTTTTAACAGAGTGGCTGGGTGGGAGGATTTTTCCTGCTACCTTCACAGGGAGACGGAAACAGAGCGCCTGGGGAGAGTGCATGATTTTTGGCGGGCGGGCGGGCTTGCACGCGTGAAGGTTGCTTGTCTTTGAAAAGAAAGCTGCGCGAGTCTGAGGGTACTGGGGGTGCGTTGCCTCCTTCCTTGGGTCGGCAGGCGGGAACGCGACGGCGCGCCAGCTCCGCGCTGGGGGCCCCTTGCCGGGCGGGTGTGGACGGTCCCCTTAATCAGGACGAGAGTGGGTGAGGGGGCCGGGGTAGGGGCGGAGGGGAGCGGCCGGGAGGCGGCAGAGACCGCCGGGACTGTCTTCGCGCGGCGCGCCGTGCGCGCCAGGATTCCGCCAGTGGGGGTCGCTGAGCTAAAGTGCATCAGGCCCCCGGGCGTGCGCAGGGCTGCGAGCCCGGGTATTTTTAGCGGTGCCGTGATCTAGTCCTCCCTCCTCTCTCCCGCTGACTTTTGTCGCGCGTGTTTTCCGAAATGGTTAAACATTGACCTCGATTAGGCTTCGCGGAAAGCAACTTTTATTGTGCAGTTTCCCCTGCTCCGCTGTCGTGGGCGGCGGCGCGCTTGGGGCTGAGATGCGGGGGTGGCGGGAGTTTGTCTGAGAGCTGGGGGAGCCTCTAGGGTAGCCTGCGACAAGAGGAAAGGGGGGCGCCCCGGACGTGTGTGTGTGGTGGTGGTGGCGGCATCCTGCGGCTGCAGCTCCTCGCAATAATGGGGGCCAACTAGGCAGTGGAAGGGTTCCCTGAATGGATATGAGAGAGCGAGGCTGCGGTGACCGGGTGAGGTCGCCTTTGGGGGGGCTACGAGAGGCTTCCCGGCGGGAGAGGCGCCTGCGGCCCGGAGCGTGGGCGGTCGGTAGTGGCGGCGGCGGCCGGCTCCTGGCGAACTCGGCCCGCCTTGGTCCCCAGCCCGGTCTCCCGCCGCCGCGCGCCGACCGGGACTCCGCTTCTGGTTTGGGCGAACCTGCAGCAGCAGCGGCGGCGGGAGGAAGGGAAGCGCGGACCGCGCAAATCATTGAAGACTCTTTTCTCCTCCCCGGCCCTCCTCCCGCTCCTCCCCACCCCCAGACTCCGGCGCGTTTGTTTTCCAAGTTGGATCCCACTTCCATTTACAAGTGTCAGACGAACCCGCGCGAACCTCCCCCACTCACCCCGGCCCCAGCCAGACGGGAGAAGGGGCGGGGGGCGAGCTGTCTCCTCAGCGCTGGGGGCTGCTCGATGCTCACATCGGAGGGTCCTCGGTTAAGAAGATACACATAAACACGAAACCCAGACCGTTCCTGGCCACTTTGTATTCCGTCGCTTTTCTCTTCCTAGCTTCGGACGTATTAATTTTCTGGCCCCAACGCTTGTTTTTTCAAAGGCGAGTCGCGGGCGGTGGGAGGAAGGGGGCGGGGGAGCAGGCCGACCAGTTCATCACGGTGGATTTGTGCTTCTGGCTTTGTTGCTAGGATTAGATTCTCTGCGCCCAGGCCGAGTTAAAATAGATGCGGAGACTGAGAACCGGCCAGAAAGACTGCAGACGACTTTGCCTGTGATCCAGGCGGCAAGTTCAGGTGGTGGAACGGGGAAGCCCGCCATCTAGGAATTGAGGACTGAGGTGCCCCCTTGCCGGTGTCGATCAAAGAGAGCCCAGATTTTGGCCTTACCTTCAGGCACTGAACTTCTCTTAACGTTTACCAAATGCTTGAATGATGTTATGGTTTGTGACGTGAAGATTTGAATCTGAGAAGCGTAGGAAGGGAGGGAGGGGCTGGAGGTGAAAGAAAGGGGGAGAAGAGATTGAGAGATGGAGATTCTGCAGAATCCTGGAAATTGCACAGAGCCAACTGTTTCTGCTTGCTTCTTTCTTTTCTTTTCTTTTCTTTCTTTCTTTCTTTCTTTCTTTCTTTCTTTCTTTTCTCTTTCCTTTTCTCTTATTCCTAAATTGGAGCAGTTAAGCATCGAGAGAATAAAGAACAGCCAAGAAAACCAGGGCGCCAAGAGACAAAGACAAAAAATGCATAATAACTTTAGCTTTGATGTGCCTTTTCCCCCTCTAATAGGATTCCGGTGGGGGAAGGGTTTTTTTTTTTTTTTAACATTTTACAAGGAGAAAAGTTGTCTCTTAGAATTAAACCGAATGCTGATATTTAATCATGAATCCTTGTGGTTGTCTTTTTGTGACTTAGACAATGAATAGTGCTGGGGCCAGTTTCTATGCACAGTGCACTGGGATGAGAAAGTTCCCAGAACTGTCCAGTTATAATGTCTTCATATCTTAACCACACAGAGAACTCCACGTGAACGGCAGGCAGCTGGCTCAGAGATCAGAAATCAGTCGCTGCTGGGCTGGGTCCATCTCTTGTAGCTGCAGGATTTTCACAGCCAGTGTTTGTTGACCAGTGACTGGCTGTCAGCCCCCCACCCCGCTTTCTTCTCCCACATTTTATTTATTTTGGTTCTTGGCGGAGTCATTTTGGGAATTCTTTTAAATAGGACCCAGTATATCTGTTAACTAGCAATTACAGTTATGCTGAGCTCCTCAGAAATGAAATGAGTAGCAATAAGCAGGGTGGATGCCCACTGACCTGTATGCTCTATGGTTATTTTGCCAGCTCACAGCTTTTTGTAAAGCGGCAGCTCTTCAGGCTGCTCACAGAAGAACATTTTGATGTGTCAGGTTATGTTATCCTTGCTTTCTTCATATGCTGCAGAATGACCTGCTGTAATCTGGCTGATGAATTATGTCAAATAGAAAGAAGTAGGCAATTACTGGTGAGGAGAGAAAATTTAGTCATTACCAGCTGGTCCTAGGAGTGCTCCCAGTGGCTCTTGTTGTGTTGTTCTGCTATATTCATAGCTCACAATGCAAATAGGACCATTTGTGGAGTTGGGTGTGGCATTCGATGATGCCCCACATCTGTCCGGTTAACTAGTGGGTGGGCTTTACCTCTGGGCCAAGAGGGAAAGGATAGTATTTGGGGTGTTTGATTTCTTCCATTGTGGGTCATTCTTAGGTTCCTTCCTTGGGCAGGAGCTTTGAGTGGGGATCATCTGATGGGATCAGGTGGGCTGGGCCATTTGGATTGATTTCCTTTGATTGCTGGGCAAGGGCTATTGATGAACCTTTGTCTTTGCTGATTGTGAAAAACACCAAGGAGGAATAGAAATTTAAAAGAAGGGATGTGACAGACCTAGAAGGAGGGCCTTGTCTCCTGTCCAGTCCTTCCTGCAGAGAAGAGAGCCCCTGATTTCCACTAATGTTAAAAGTGTTAAAGGAAGAAACATGTGTATATTGCTTTGCGTATTGATTAAATTTTCTGAAATAGTTTTCAGTCTCTAAATGTTGAAGATATCATTATGAGGATTTTTCTGCCCAGTTATGGGGGTTGGGTCTTTGTTTTGTGTTTGTCCTTTTGATAGATACTTGCTGCTTAGGTGACTTCCTGGACAAAGACCTTGAGGGTACATTATCTTTCTAGGTTTGGCCAACTTCATTCTACAAGCTTCTTAAACTCACTGATTTTCAGTCAGTTGAAGAATATCTACTTCTTTAATAAAGCTCTTCTCTTTCTTTGTTTACATTGCCTCCTTTCCCCCAAATTTCTTTCTTTCTTCCTAAAATTTCTAATAATTTTAGGACAGCTTGCCTTTCCTTAAAGAAATAAAAATAAAAAGATTCAGTGTAATGCCACAGGTTGAATTTACTGAGAACATATTTGACACTAGTCTAGTGGCTTCCAGCCAGTTTCTGGTCTACCAAAATAGCCTGTCAGTTACGTGTAACAGTGACAAATGACCATTCTAGTGGCTCTGGATTGGAATGGCACTCCCAGGTTAGTCTTCATTTTAGCTTGTTCTAGGATTGAGATATATTTGTATGAAATACAAGGGTTGGAATTTGAGAGTGGATTTACTGGCATGATGCTGGTCAGAGAAAATAGAGAACACATTTCAAAACGGAATGATCCAACTCCTTGTATAATCAAAGTGTGTTACTTCCCTCACTGGGTGGATGTGTGTGATTTTAGAGGCCTGGGAGGAGGCCTGGGGAGGGTTGTGGGATTGTCCTCCCTTAGATTATGTTTTATGAGAGCGTTGCCTTGTCTGGGCAGAAAAGTCTTGCAGGGGACATTGAGAGGAATCCTAGAAGAGATTTTGGTATTTCACCTTTTTGGTATTTCAGGCTTCCCAGACTGGATGACAGCCTCTATTTAATAAAGGAAATTTGTTTAATTAACTTTTGCTCTTGTATATCTTATATTTTACCCCTTTGTGTTTATTCTGTGAGGTCACATAGAATTTAAAGTCCTTTCCTTTATTTTTCCTTCACTTTTCTTTTTCTTTTTCCTGTTTTCTTTCTCTTTTTTTCTTTTCTGTCTTCAAAAAGTTCATTTCTTTTGCGTCCGAGTCTTGATTTTGGTTCAGGTCATGGTCTGAGGATCCTGAAGTTCCTGAGATCAGCCCCATGTTTGTGGGGGCTCATGCTGACAGTGGGCAGCCTGCTTGGCATTCTCTCTCTCTCTCTCTCTCTCTCTCTCTCTTTCTCTTTCTTTGCCCCTCTCCCGCTTGAACTCTGTCTCAAAATAAATAAACATTAAAAAATACATTTGTTTTAACTTTCTTTTCAGTATATTTACTCAATCTACCTCCCTTTACAAGGCAGTGGGCAGGATTCAGATATATCCTTCGTAAAAGTAAAATATATCCTTTGCTTCCAAAGGATAGATACCCATGTATGCAAACTAGAAATCAACACATGGCCATGTTTGTTAATTGACAAAGAGTGTCACTGAACAGGGTCCTAGAGGACGAGGGAGAGATTAATATGAGCTGAAGTAAACTTTTAGGAGGAATATAAAGTGAATATAATCCACTTTAGTAATTCTTAGTGAAACCTAATATGGGCAAGATATTACAAAATTAATTCTTTCATTTCTTTAGGACAGAGCTCCTTCTCTGGAAGAACATACTAACAGAATAGGTCAAATAGGTTGTTGGAATGTTATTCAGTATTTTGGGAAGGTACCGGGAATTTATTCAGGCCCTTTTCTTCATTATCCTTTTGTGCCCCCCCCCCCCAACTTCAAAGAGGACCCTTAGGTGTTTTAATTGTGTCTGGGAGCCTGCCTGTAGGTGCATGGGCATGCCCCCACTTCCTCTCCTGCATATACACACACGGGCTCTCTAGTGGTTGTATCACCAATTCTGGGATTTTTAGTGGACTATTGGAAGTATCTAAAAAGTATCCATGTAAATAAGCTACCTTTTAGGAGACCCTTTAAAGAAGCATTCATTTTTGCTGTTTTCATAAAATTTAATGGGTTGTTCCTGGCACTACCTATTATTATTCATAGGTGACTCCTTGAGGCCTCTCACACCACCCAGCGCTCCCCAAAGTAGTCATAAAGCAGTTCTCAGCCTTGACTGCACTTTAGAATCCCCCAAAAGCTCTGACAACCACTGTGCACAAGCTGCATCCAGGCCATTTAAATCAGAATCTCTAGGGGTAGGGTCCAGGCATCAGTATCTTTTAAAGCCTCCCAGCAGATTTCATGGGGTAGCCTCCCTGGAGAAACTCCACTCTAAAGGTTGTGTCTCAGGTATGGAGTTCGACTCTTGGCCAGAGCTCCTGGACCTCAGGGAATTTGAATGAAAACCAAGAACACTTGTGGTCTTCATTCTCCTGCTGGGAATGTAGCCCCTGAGAATCTATGCTGAGCAGAAGTGGAGCAGGCCTGGTCCTGAAGGAAGTAGCTAGAGGTTCAGGGCCTCCCCCCTCCAGCGTGTTTTGGTTCCCAGTTTGCCCCTGGGTAACACTCCGGTTGCTAATGTGGGTTTATCCTCCATTTCACTCTGCTTTGTCTCAGTTCCTTCTCCGGATGGTAATCACAGCTGGTCCAGGAGCTGATAAATGACATTTCGAAGGCTTCAAACATCTCCAGGAATAAAAATTCTTCCTCCTTCCATATTGGACTCTGGCTCTGGGGTCTGCTTTTATGTACTTCTGAATTCAGGGGATGAATTTAATGTAATCCATTGCTGTTTGCTCAATTCTCTTTTTATTTGTAGGGATTACAAGAGATGTGTTGCATTAAAATAAAAAAAATGAATCATGTCCTCCAGGAACTTACAGTCTACTTGTGGCTAAAGATGTGTACACCTAAGGAACAAACATTTTTAACGTGGGAGGTTGAAGGAAACCTACCAAGTTTAGCAGGCATGCTCCTGGCACATGCTCGGAAGAAACTTCATTCCTACAGTCTGATGTACTTGGCATATTCTTAGTTCTCTGTTTTCCTCTGAGGCTTCGTTAGGAATCTCAGAGTTA